ATTTCCAATAGAAGCTATGAACCCGAATTATCATTTGTTGCATACTGTTACATTACAATTATTTTATTTTGATCATACATTGTAAATTACCATGCACTACTAATAGAACAAATATGGTATGTAAGCTAATGTACACCTGTGCTACTGGAATAGTTTTAGCCATATCTGATGGAACTACTGCAATAAAGTTTTTCTATTTTAATAGTAGATTTGCCTTGAACCCCGTCAGTGGACCTGATGGTGTTTATGAGCTTTCAGGCAGTACATTTAAACACACAATTTTATGGCAGCCATGGCCTCAGAAACACAAACCAATTTATTCAGTTGAGGTTTGTGATAGAAGGAATGGTATACCAGTTTTATGTATTTCCATTTGGCTCTGTGCAGCACCACTGGTGCTAACAATGATGTGCAATGCAGTGCACCAGATCAAAACAGCTAGACACTCAGCCCCCACTCATGCACAGATATCCAAGAGCCTGGTACCTAGACCTCCCAGGTCAGCTGAAGGGTAGCGCTAGTTGGGTGATCCATCACTATAATCATGTGGTGGTAAGAATTCCAACAGTGTACATTTTGACTGACACTTCAAACTCAAATGTGGAAGCCTCACAAAGAGAATTTATAGCCAAGATGCATGACATTAGAGCTCCAGGTATAACTATGCATTTGTGATGAATGCTGTGTTCGACCATGTGCTGGCATCCGGGCACTGAAAGTCATGCATCACATTTATTTCTCATTGCCTCCAAGGATTCTATTCTGACAGCACTGCAGGTTATCACATACTGCGGGCCAGATGGTGACAAACTCATACGCACACAGACTTACTACTGGCTACTGTTGTGCAAGGCTCATACCACTAAGTAAAACTCCATAGACGACAATGTTAACATATGATGAGATTGCTATATGAAAATGATTAACAAAGTTGAAAACATGGCTCAAAAATGGGAAATCAACATGCCAGTAATCAACCACTTAAAAAAACTAACATGTTGGCCAGCTCAAACTCTTGGAAATCTTGGGTAAACAAGACACACCTACTGTATTTGAATTGCACCTAGAGAAATCACTGGAAAAACACCAAGATTAGAACATCCAAATACACACAGAATAAACCCACAGGTACACAGTCGCTAAGTAGTAAACAAAAGACCACATGTTGGTCTCACCTTTGACCCAGGTGATCACGCCCTCAAACAGGGAGCACCTGAGAAGAAAAAATATTTAAAAAATTTCATTGGTTCTTGCAAGGCATTTAAATTGGGCAATGGCTACGAGCAGCCATTGGTTGATTAGTGGCATGAGACATGCAGCTGAGCTTAGGAATTTACCAGGATACTTGAAGGTAGTTTACCTCCACACTTGGGACCCTTAACGTGGATAGATTGAATAGTGGTGTAATCAAAGTGACACCATAAACTAGATGGGTTGCTTCTAGCTATAGGCCACTTGTTTTTTACCCGATCATTCCAATAACTAACACTATTAGTCTGTCTCCCCAGGCACTCGTACATCTCCTTTGAAAGGTGTTGTGCTTCAATGTGGAAAAATGGAGGGAAACTACTCTAAAATATACTACTGATATTACCGTGAATTCCTGGAGATGCCATGCACTATTTTGAATACAAAGGCCAACTGACTGGAAGTAATAAGACCTACTTTGTCTAAATTAAACAATGAGCAATCACTTTTATGAACAGCTCTGCTCTGTCATCTAAGATGACACCAGTGCTAAAAAAAAATGAAAATTTGTTGAATGTTAGATGAAAAAAGTGAAAAGTTTGCTGATTAAATTTCAAATAATTTCATGGATTTCAACAAAAAATTAATAAAGACTGTGCAAGGTATTAGTGATATTAGTTGAACAAACAGACTTATGCTTTTCATTGGTTGATTATAATCACACTGACTAAATCATTGTTTTTTTGTTTTCTCTGACTGCTGCTATATTTATTTTCAGTTACCAATATTAGTGCATAATTGTGTACATGGAAAACCCATCCCAGGAATGTATACTGTACTTCCCAACTATCGGTACACAATTTTCCCTGTTTAGTCATAATCTATCTTCTTCAATGACAGAACACTTAAATATATAAGAGCAGATTTATTGCAGTTTTACCTTCATTTTTACACCAATCAGAATCAATTCTATATATTTTAATTCCATCTGTGCTATCAAGCACTTCTTCAAATGGTTCACCAAATACACTTCTCACTGTGGAAGTTTTGCCAGCACCACTTGCTCCTAACACCATAGCACGTCCTCGATACATTATTTTCATTCCACTCGATGGATCAACTTATACAGTAAAAACAGAAATGTATGTTATGAATATGTAAATTTATGTTCAACCATTTGCCTGACATGGCACACAACAATAGCTTGCAGTGAAGCATGATATTTATGAATAAGAAGTATTAGTACATGAAGTGCTTCTGTGTTAACAATGACTTAATGCTATGAATTCTATCAGGACAACATAATTAAATTATTATAATACAAGCATAAATGAAGATATGGTATTCATGAATTCAATTAAATCATTACAGCATGGCAATTTATCATTATCAAACTTATTCAAACTTAATTAAAAATTCATAATTGTCAGCTCTATATTCTGTTATTTTAGAGGAATGCCTAATGTTAGTTAATTTAGACAAGCACATACTATAAAATTAAATAATATTATAACATAAACAAGCTTTATGTTAAAAATCTCTAGCCGCCAGAGAAGGAGTTCTTCAATCTCTTAGACCAAATTATGCTGAAGTATATTTATACATACATGTGATTGTTATTCCCATGGATTCCAGATATTCACTTCTACCAAATGCATACTCTGCACAAACTCTGAAGTAGTATTCAGTAGATAGTTTAAGATTATCAACATTATATGACGTAACATCAGGTGGAATTTATCACTGACTGTGGTCCA